CATCAATTCAATTTTTGTGTTAAGTGTGTGAATTTCAGTTCACTACAGAAACAAAACTCATCAGTAGCAGCAAAAAAAAAAAAAAAAAAAAAAAAGACCAATTATAAAACATTATAAAGATCACAACCAATCAGTTTTACTAAAGATATCAATATGGCATCAAATGGATATCAACACAAATGTAGACAGACACATACACACTCAGTCACATGCGCACACACGCACACACACACTTGGTCACAGTCAACAGGTGCCAAGGACATTGCGGTGGGGAGTCAAGTTTTAGCTTGGTACCATGTCCAAAAAAAAAAAAAAAAAAAAAAAAAAAAAAAATACACATTTCACACACCGTTAAAGAATGCCGAAATCAGGATTTACAAACTTGCAACATGCATGCGTTGAGCCGAACCTTGGAGACGAAACTAAGGATGCGCTTTCTTTGTACGATTTCCTCCCGCTCAGGTGAGAAAACAGAAGTGTTAGCCCTAAGCCCCCCGTCCCAGAGGAATGTTGTTTTTTTTCGGTGGGAAAAGTTTTCCCCACGCTCTCGCTCTCTCTGTCTCGTTCGATCAGGTAGAAAAAAAACATGTAGACAGCAATATGTGTGATAGATGATAGCTCTGTAAAGCAGCACTCTGGTAAGAATGAAAGGTAGGAAAGATGGATGAGGATAGATCATCTTACAGAGAAGCAGAATCGGGTGGAGCACAAATGGAGTATTTGATATTGAATCCTATTCCCCCAGAAAAAAGAAGTTATTAGAGAGCTTGTTTTTTTTACCTGTCTGTCCCTAGCTACGTGTAGTAGGTCTGTAAAAAGTCTAAACCACAGTGCCACCCACAGTCTGTCCCAGGTACTGCATGTACAACTTAATGTCTGTGAGTCTATTGAGCAACCAGCTACTCGTTTAAGTTTAAGAATCCCATTAAAATCCTAACTTTCCCTGTCGTTCCAGCCAGGAAACAAGCTTTCCTCCTGCCTGCTGTCCCTGCCTTGTTAGTGAATCCCCTCCCTGTCTGTCCCTGAACTTTTCTCTGTGCTGCTCTCTTTTCCAGCTGGTCTCCTCCTCTATCTGTCCCTACCAGTTAGTTGTTGTTTTGTTTTTTGTTTTTCTGTGTCAGGTCCCTGCCTAGTTAATCTAGAGGTGTCCCCCCTGTCCCTCCCTCCCACCCGCGCACCCTCCCTCTATGGACAAACACATAGGGCGTGGGGGCCGTCCATCAGGGGGAGCGGCCAAAAGCGTCCCTCTCCCTCCCCCCAGATCAGGGCCGTGCAATACACAGATGGATGAGTTTCCCATTCACCCTCCTCCTGCTGGCTCACCTGAAGACAAAACCACAAAACAACATGAAGACGTTAACGGAGGAACGATGCAGTTTTTCTTTACTTCAGCTCGATGTGTGGTGGCTTACCTATTGGGTGGGTGTGGAGAACCTAAACGCCGTAGCAGGCTGCCAGTCTCTCCTTTAGCAGTGGGGGGAACTGCTCTGAAAACTGCTGCCAGTTCTCCTCCCCGACCTGCTCCTTGAAGCCATGAAGGATCTGTGGAGACCATCAGCAAATCCAACGTGTGTGAGCAACGAGAACGTATTCAGGAGATTTTAAAGATTTAAATTAGGATTATTAAGTGTAAAAATGAAATAAACAAACGATGTCGAGGGTACATGGGAAACGCCTTTTATGTTTAACTTATGTTGATATTATAAGCCTATAGCAACAAGCAATTAATCAATTAACAACATTTCTGCAGGTTTCATCAACTC